AGGAGGAGGAGGGGAAGGACGAGGTCGAGGAAAGGTTGCGGAGCACCGGGGGAAAAGCACGCGGGGGAGGAGGGGAGCATGAGGAGGAGGACGATCAGGAGGATGAGGATCATGAGGAGGATGCGAAAGAGGGGGATGAGGAGGAGGGAAAGGGTGAGGAGGAGGACAAGACAAGACAACACCATTGCGAGCCATGATGTCTGTGCTACTGCTGCATCTGCATCTGGCTCTAGGCTGCGCACCCTGCGCCTTCCTGCGAGCACCGCTGGAAGGAAGGTGCCCTCTCTGGCCGATGGTGGGACAGCGAAAGGGAACGCCGAGCTGCCCACCTGCGGCACCACCCTTCCTGTAGAGGTGGGGAAGTAGAAAAAAAACGAGAGAGGAGAAAGACAGTAGAAGTGAGCTAGTTCGCAACACTATCTCACATGCAATTCATGCCTACAAATTATCATTTGGATTCATGCACCAACCCCGTACCGGAGCACCAACCCCGTATGGACACACGCCCGACATGTACTCAACAATTCGGAATGGGGTTGGGGTGGAGGAAACGACTGGGGGATCGAGGCGTCGGCTGGAGAGGGACTGTCTGGACATTCACTTCCACCCTCTGCTATTTGATGCACGTGCATACTGCGCATGCCATTCGTGTATGTGAGGATTGGGTGTGCGTGCTGCGCTTGCAATCGTGCCAGCTGTGCACCTGAAACTTGGCCATTCCTGACCATCTCTGCCATGCGCTCAGAGCCTCGCACAGCGCTCAGCCTGAGCGGGGGGAGATTCAGAACTCGTCTTCTGTGTCCATCCTGTCCCGCTCCTTCTCCTTCTGGCTCCTGTCGCCCTGGAGGCCTAACTTGCGCATGAGCCTCTCCGCCTCTCGCTCCAGCGCCCCGCAAGGGGCTCCTCCCGCGCGGCACTCTCCTCCCTGGCTGCGGATGGCCGCGCACACCGCCTGGTGGAGTGGGATGCTGTGCTGCTCTCCTGGGTGGTCATGTCCTTGACGCAGCTCGACTGCGCGGTGGGGCTCATCATGAATTGGAGCTTGAACCTCGTGGCCTTCTGCTGGCTCTTGCGGTCGTACCAGCACGCCTTGACCCGCAGGTAGCGGATCTGCTCCTGCAGGTGGGTCATCGCATCTTCCCTGTTGAGGCTGACCACGTAGCCCCAGTACGAGTGGATCGCCTTCTTGGTGATCTAGTCCAGCGTATCCAGCGTGGTGAAGTGTTTGAGGAGCGCCAGGAACACATGCGGCCACGGGGGGCCGTTGCTAATGAGCGTTTCCCTTGTCCTTGAAGTCCTTGGCGTAGGTCTTCCCCGCTGTCTGCATGACCGCAATCAGCTGGGCGCTTGCTGGGAGCAGATAGCATGTGAAGCACGCGCCTGTCAGATCTGCGAGTTCGCGTGCATTGGTCAGGCTGAGTTTGGTGAGAATGCCCATCAATGTCCTGAAGTTGTCCTTGCTGCCGCTGCTCCTCTACTTCTCGACCTGGTCCTTCAGCCTGCCCTGCTTGGACTCTGGTGCCGCGTCCTCCCCGTTGTCGTCTGCCTTGCGCCTGGTGCCCACTAGCATCCAGGAAGGGGCCGCTGGCGGCCTTGGCTGCGATCCCGTCTGCGATCCCGCTGCCGACGACGCGGCCGCCATCGTCAAGTGCTGGAAGGTACTGAAAGTGAGTATGAAGATGCACTCGGAGCGAGGCAGCGGTGCATGCTTGAGTCAAACATAACGGACGTCGTAAATCATCTGGCTGTTGGGCCTCTCGGAACGTCGTACTTTTGTTTGTCACACACAGCCCCGTTTCGAAGGAGTCAACCAGGTGTTTGTAGGTCGGGCTCCTATTCTCGAAGACACTCTCGCAGACGAAGCACACGTTAGTGTGCACAGTGAGGGCCAGGAGGGACTTAAACGCGTGATGCTTGCGCATGTGGACTAGGAGCTGCCTGTTAGTGTGGAACCTGCGGGGACGCCCTGGGACAGGACACTCGAGTTGTGGTACTGGCCCTTAAGTGGGAGGCGATTGCACATCTGCTGGAGGTCGAAACTCATGGGGCGGAATAGTAGCACTCAGCCAGTGGGCCCTAAGCTTCTTGGGATCGAACTGCGAAAACCACTCTACCAACGTAGGGTCCTGGAACAGTTGCATGGGGCTGTCATCGAAGTCCGCAATGTGCTCATATTCGTCATCCCCTAGATTTGCCAACGAATTTATGTCATCAATCACCCTTCTTGCCCAAGGACACGCGTGCTGGGTCAGTCGTGCATCCTCACCTACAATCTGAATGCCCCTGTCCTGCTCGATCCTCATCGTACCGAAGAGCGCAGCCCATTCAGCGAGGTGCTGATCAGGCCGTTGTACCCACCGCTGATACCACTTAATACGCCTAGCACGGAGTTCGACTTCAGGGGGGCCATCTTCCAGTAAGGAAGAAGAAGAAGAAGAGCAGTGGGAGCAAGAGGAGGAGGACGCGGTGGAGCAGGAGGGGGAGGATGAGGAAGAGTTTCTTCATCGAAATACGTGTCCCTCTCCTCCACGTCGCGATCCTCATCCTCCCACTTCATTGCCCCGGGCCCAAGCCCTGTCCGTAGTCCGTACCCTCGTCCCTGCGTCACGACTTGTGCCGAATTACCCCTTTATCACCACACCTATATGCATCTGCGGTTTGACGTCGCCCTCTGTGAAACAGATTCGAGCACATCCCTATCCCTAAGAGTTAGAAGCCCAAGGCGATGACATTCTCAGGAGTGTGCCCTCAGAAACTTCGGCTTGGGGAAGATCATCACCGAAATAAGGTGATGACAATCGTATCTTAGGTATAGGGATATGCTTGATGCCGGAAATCTGTATGTGTGTCCTGCTCCTGTCCAGCGCAGCATCCCCGACCAAACTCTTTCCCATCTCCTGCCCTCGCCTTCCCAAGGCCGCTGGGCGCACCGTGAATAGCCAGGGCTGCGCTGGGTGCCATGTGCAGTCCAGGACGCCAAGCCTCCCGCGCATGCTCATTCTCTGCTGCGTCTGCCACCGTCGCACCTGCAGCCATCGCCGCATCCATTCCTGGCCGCTCATCTTCACACTCCGTACTCAACATCGCGGTAACGATCTCGACAATGCTTGCAACACCGACTCGTAGTGCTAGAAGCATACATGTCCGACAAGCCGCTACACAAGACAATGAGCACCATGCTTGCCAAATGTGCCATCAGGCGCAGACCTTGAGAACGCACTGCTACTTCCTTCTGTGGTCGTGGCCCGCTATTTGCAGTTGCGAGGCTTCCAGTCGAGTAGCAAGTCTGGAAGAATAATCAATGGTTTAAACAGATTTCTTGGGTCGGCGCTGGGCCCCCCTCCCCAGGCGCGCGAAGCACGCCGGGGGCGGCACCCGAGGCGCGGCCAGGAGGGTTCAGCGCCGAGCCAAGATCTCCGCGCGGACCTTTGAAAGTCTGTGGCCATGCTGTGGTTCGTTCTTCGAGCAGCATGGCAATCATGCGGCCCCAACTCACTCAGAACAATGGACCCCCGCCTTGGCAAGCCCGGCGTGGGTACGGACAGATATGACCAGAATGCCCAACTTTGGTCCAAACACGACGGCGGCCGCCGTTGGGCCAGCGACGCTCATCCCAAATGGACAACGCCCGCGGTGGCACCGATGGCGAGCCCTGCTAAAAATGGGAACTGCTGACGGTATTCGTTCTTTTTTATTTATTTGTTGGAAAGGATGCCTGGCCTGGCGGGGGAAACATTGACGCGGAATCGGCAAAACATCGCCGACTGATCGGCGCTGGGCCCACGAAAGCGAAACCGCACGCACTTTGGCTGGGCGGGGGGGACCAGGCTCCGACTGGCGATGAGTGGGCGATTGGCAGCCCGTGCTTCTCCACTGGGCCAATCCGGGGGGGGCCAAAAGAGGTGTCGATACCACCGCCGCAGCCGTCGTCATTGTCGCCGTCGCCATCGTCGCCGCCGCCGCGGCCGCCGTCGTCGTCGCCTTCGAACGTCGCCGCCACCGCCGTCGGCGTCACCGTTGTCGCCGCCGCCGTCGCCATCGCCATCGCCGCCGCGGTGGCCGCTGTCGCCGCCGCCGCCGTGAGAGGCGGCAGCAGCGGCCACGTCGGCGACCACAACGGCGGGGACAAAAAAAGTTACCGATACCGCTGCTCCCTGGACCTTTCCTGGGGCGCGTTCTAACCAAGATTTCGAGACAGAGCCAATCGTGGCGACGATGGCCGCCCCAGAGGTCTAAAAAGGGCAACACAAGCCTTTCCTCCTCTGAAATCCACCCTGCCGCGGCCACTGGGCTCAACTAGGCCAGAAGGCCACCCGGCCCCATGCGACGGCAGCAGGGCAGGGCCTCCCGCGGGGTGTGATTCGATATTCCCCTCCCCTCCCGGAGGTTTTGTTGGGGGGGTCCGCGAGGGGTTAGAGCGTCCAAGATGGCCCAAGATGGCTCCAAGAGGGCGTCCGATGCTCCGAGCTGGCCTCCAAAATGGCGCAAGATAGCCGACGATGGTTCAAGATGACTTCCGACATACCTCCAATAGGCCCGACGAAGGCCACAAGACGGTTCCAAGTGCTCTCGAAGCCTCAGGACCCCCCCAAGAGACCAAAATCCTTCAAAAACCGTTGGGAAAACGATGATGTCTGACTTCTCCACTTTCGCTTCCAATGCGCCATTGAGGCCTCAAGATGGCCCAAAGATGGCCCAAGATAGACCCAAGAGGGGCCCAAGGGACCGCCCAGACGGCCCCAAGAGCGCCCAAGAGCGCCCCAAGCGGCGATGTTGATGGCCCCAAGGGGGAGGAGGGGAGGGGGGGGGCGCAAATCTAGGACCCCCCTTTTGATCGATGGCCTCCAAGATGGCCCCAAGAGGCCCTGTAGGGCCCCCAAGAGGGCTCCAAGACTGCACCAAGAGGACCCCAAGACCCCCCAAAAGAGCTCATAGAGGACCCCAAGATCGCTCAAAAGAGTTTCAAGAGGGCTCCAGGAGGCGATGCTGAGCGCTCTGTCGTTGTCCTCCTCCTCCTCCTCCTCCTCCTCCTCCTCCTCCTCCTCGTCCTCCTCCCCCTCCTCCCCCTCCTCCTCCTCGACTTCGTCCTCGTCCTTGCCCTCATCGTCTGCCTGTTCCTTCCCTCCTCTTCCTCGTCGTCGTCGTCGTCGTCGCCATCGTCGTCGTCGTCGTCGTCCTCCTCCTCCTCCTCCTCCTCCTCCTCCTCCTCCTCCTCCTCCTCCTCCTCCTCCTCCTCCTCCTCCTCCTCCTCCTCCTCCTCCTCCTCCTCCTCCTCCTCCTCCTCCTTCTTATCCTCTTCCTCCTCTTTCCATCGCCCATACGCGGACCCCAGGGATGTCCCGAAGAGGTCCTCGAAGGCCACCCCCTTTCTCCCAGAGATCTCTCTGTTCACCCTGGCTACCCGCTTGGTTTCACTACATTTGTCTTTTCGTCCCCTTTTCCCGTCGAATCCCATGGGCACGGTTCATGAAAGGGCTGGTGGTGATATATTCGTTTGGTCGCGGGCGGACGCGGATTCGGAGTCGCCGAGCTGAGAGGTCTGGGCCACGGGCCTGTCAAAATAGCAACGTGCAAGCCTAAAAGCACAGCGGCCGCGCCCGCACTCAGAAGCTGGCTGGTGGTGATATGTGTTGGTTGGCGGCTCCCTGGCGAAGGTCAAGAAGCGGGGCAACTACGAACGGGGCGCGCACGAAGCTAATTGGCCGCAGTGGCATATGCACATGCGAGGGACAAAATTATCCTGGCAAAGCAACCTAACAGCGATGTGTAGAAGCATAGCTGGAAACATTGCCTGTGGTATTCATGTAAATGTGTTGTTGTAGAATTCTGGTGTTCTCGCAGTCGCATTCGGATTCGCAGTGGCAGTCGCAGTGGCAACATCAGCGGCAGTCGCAGTGGCACTGCCAGTAGTTGCAGTAGCAATAGCTACACCAGCAGCAGCAACAGCAGCAGCAGCAGTAATAGTAACAGTAGTAGTAGGAGTAGAAGTAGTAGTGATGGTAGTAGTGGTAACAGTGAAGTAGTAGTTGTAGTGTGTGGAGCGGGCGAGCAGGAGCGATGGGAGCAGTGGAGGTAGCAGTAGAAACACTTCTGGCGCCTCACACGGACCAGCGCCCCCCTGCTGGCGCCTCACACGGGCCAGTCCTACGAGCACCAACAGGGTAGGAAGTTGCTCGCCGACTTCGAGTACGTCATCGACTTCGTGCAGATGCAGCGCTTTACAGACCCGTTGCAGCTTCGGTATCCGGCCGAACTGCTTCACGTGCTCGACGAGCGTTTGCAGAGGACCGCTCAATGCAGCACGCTGAGGAGCAGCGCTGTTCCCTGCCGCAGGCTGAGGAGCACCGCTGTTCAACGCAGCAGGGTCAGGAGCACCGCCGCCTGACCGAGAACTATCAGCATGTCCTGGCATTAAAGTGCGCAGTAGGCGCTGCGCAGTTCCTTTGAAAGGAAATCTTCGAAAGCAGGGCTGTAGCCAAGAAGGCTACGGGGACGATGATGATGATGAAGATGATGAGTCTTGGAAGTCTGGGAAGTGGAAGAGCACGAAGTGGCCTACAGTTGGCTCCGGGCATCCAAAATGTGGCCCAGAAATGGAGTTCTGGGAAGTCGAAGAGCACGAAGTGGCCTACAGGCACTGGGCCCTGCAATGTAGTAGAGATGACGTCGGGCTCCAGCTTCGCCTCCCACATCTCGCTCAGCAGCGCAAGCGCCCGCTGCCACTGCCCGCCCTTCTCGCACGCGCTGATCCCAGCGCTGTAGCTGATGACGTCGGGCTCCAGCTTCGCCTTCCACATGTCACTGAGCAATGAAAGCGCGTGTTGCCATTGCCCGCCTTTTCCGCATGCGCTGGCAGTCGCAATGTAGTGGCCTGGGACAAGTTGCACACCTAATCGAAGTCCTTCGCGGAGCAACCGCAGTGCTACGCTCCATTGTTTTGTCCGACCGCAGCTCTTGATCGACGCTTCGAGGGAAATAACGCCTTCTCGAGACCCTCGGCCGATGCCCAGCATCCGAGAAGACACGGCACCGCGGCTTGAGCCACATTGTAAATACCTTAAGTCAAAATGGCTTGAGCCAAAATGGCTTGAGCCAAGTGGCTACGGTCACTGGTGGTGATACGCGAAGCGTGAAGAATTTGGTCATGCCTGGGGGGCCCGATATTCCCTTGCCCAGATCTCCATCCCGAAAACTATTCGCAAGCACCCCCTGCAATCCAGTTAACCATCTTCAGGTCAAAAAGTCGACGCCTCCTTTGGGCCGTCTTGGCACTCTCTTGGGCCATCTTGGCGCCCTCTTGAAGCGTTTAACCGATCCCCATCCCCAGCGACGTGGCCTGGGCCCCACTGGCCGATTGACCCCCCTAGATAGGGGATGTAGGTCGTTCCCTTCGGGTTTCGAGGGGGGCATACCCAACTGGGGTGGTAATTTGGTAGGGGGTCTCGAAGGGGATGAGGATGGGGATGGCGATTGATGAAACGATACCGATCTTGGGCCGTCCGAGGGCCCCCTGGGTAGCCCTTGCAGTTTTGGGCGCCGCTCCAGGCCCTCTGCAAGCGCCTCTGCAGGGCCCTCTTCGGCATCCTCCGGGCGCGCCGTCCAGAGGAGAGGCCGAAAGGAGGGCTCCACTCCTGAATAACAAAATAAAGGAATTGAAGGGGCCCAGGGACGCACAAACAAAACATACACACACAAGTACCAAGATTCCCCATATTCTCCCCTATCTTCTGGGTTTTCGTCTTCCCCCCCACTTCCCATATGTTCCCATGTGTTCTGGGAGTCGGCAACGAAATTGTGTCTGTGTGTTTTTTCCCCTCCTGAGATGACGAAATACCGAGCAAGGAGTCGGTCTTGTGTGACGATGCCGCTCCCGATCAAAGACCAGCGAGCAATCAAGCGGGAGTGCTGACCTTCTTGGGGAGCCAGTATTCGGCGGCGAGCACACATGGATTAGCGATCCGTGGATTGGGCGCGCGGTCGCCAAATCCATGGATCGGGGGTGGTGCCCTCCCCAAAGTGCGGCCGGTGCCGCCTCGGTCGGCGGCTGGAACCCGCAACTTCCCATGGAAACGGGACCCGTCGCTAATTCACGCCCGCTTAATCCATGTTTGCGATCGCCTGATTTTCGGCGTCGAGCGTCGTTGTAGGGGTGCCGTTTTGCGGTCCCAACGCGGGGACACCACTCCTGGGGAAAAACACGATGAGATATTCAGCGGGAGCGCTGGTTCTATTGGGGCCGGATTTTGGCGGCGAACAAGAGCGTCAGTCTTGAAAAATCCGCTGGCCCCCTTGCGGGGCAACCAGGCTGTAGGCAGGGAATGTGCTGCTCCCTGTACCAGTTGCAGCTTCCAGTTTCCACCGTTACAGTTCTGCTTCTTGCTGCTTACTGTTCCTTGTTGATGAACGCGCGAGTGGGGGGGGGCTCAAACCAGCAGAACTACCACGCCCTGGGAGGGCTCTCAGAATTTCTGGGGGGGTAAAAATTGCCACCCCTCACGCAGATCCGCAGGGTCAGGGTCCAAAAACTCAAGGGATTTGCCACATTGTTGAACTTCGGTGGCACCCCTCACGCAGATCGGCGGAATCAGGGTCAAAAAACACATGGGATTTGCCAAAAACACCGGGGATGCGCCACATTTCTAAAATCCGGCGTCACCCCTCACGCAAATCGGCGGGGTCAGGGTCCACAAACACAAGGGATTTGCAACATTTCTGAAATTCGGTGGCACTCCTCACGCAGATCGGCGGGGTCAGGGTCCAAAAACACGAGGGATTTGCCACAGTTCTGAAATCCGGTACCACCCCTGACGCAGATCGGCGGGGTCAGGGTCCAAAAACACATGGGATTTGCCACCTTCCTGAAATTCAGTGGCACCCCTCACGCAGATCGGCGGGGTCAGGGTCGAAAAACAAACAGGTCCCGACACTGCTTCACGGCGGCGCCCAGACCTCATGATTTAGTGTTTGCATCTCCCATTATCCGAGACAGGGGGCCGGCGGCATGGGGCGAAGCCCTTACGGATAAAACAAGAAGTATAAGAAGCATCAAGCGACAGCGCCGTTGCTGCAGGGGGGCTGGTTTGCCGATCCAAATCGCGAACGGCACTCCTCATACGGCCGGACCTAGGACAGAAGAACACCCTAAGAACACGAGACCCTCCGCAGGCCAAACTGAAGAACACTCGAGGGTACCCTCCCCCAGGATGCACAAGAAGATCCAAGAAGCATGAAGAACAGCAGGGTACCCTCCCCGAACTGACCTCGATCCTGTACCTCGGTCCGCTCGCGTCCAGTGGGAGCGCTGGTTTGGCTGGAGGGCCCGTCTTCGGCGGCGAGCAAGGTCCGCGGCCTTTGAGCGAAGAGCGAGAAAAAGGATCGAGCGGGAGCGTTTTGTCATGGTTGGGCCTCTGGAGGTCCCCCGAGCTGCTCCCAGAGGCCTCTGGAAGCCTCTGAACGCCTCTGTCGGGGAGACGTAAGACTCGGGTTCGGGGAGCCTCTGAACGCCTCTGAACGCCTCTGTCTGGAAGCCTCTGAACGCCTCTGTCTGGAAGCCTCTGAAGACTCTGGGAGCCTCTGGACGCCTCTGTCTGGAAGCCTCTGAACGCCTCTGTCGGGCTGGCCTGACGGGGCCATCATGAGAATGGCAAGAGTCAGTCTGAAGCTGGGCGCGAGCTCCCGCTGCAAATACCCCACGGAAACTCGACCGTCAAAACCCGGGACGCGCTCGTCAAAGGCGTCGGCGAACTCGAGTTCCGGCGCATTCAAGTCTTACGTTGCCCCGCCTCTGCAGGGAAGGGGGACAAAAGCAAGCAGCAAAAAAAACTGTCAAAATCATACTCTGGCCCTAGATGGGAAAGGAGCGTGGGGGGGGATGAGGGGCAACGACAAGGGGAAACCATCGACGTAAAATGGGCGATACGTCATCGCCGATGGGCCCCCGATGGCGCATCTGCACGGTCCTGGGCGGGTCGGCGCGTCTCCCTTGAGCACATCCCCCCATAGCGCTGCATTTGGGGAGGACGTGAGAGGGGAACCAATAGGCACCGATACCACTACTCCCTGGACATCCTGGGGTGCGTTCTGACTGAAATTTCGAAGCGAATCCAGCCGTGGCTACGAGGGCCTTCGAGGAGGCCCGAAATAGGTGGAAAACGGGCGAAGGGTAGCGTGTTCGGTATCTTTTCCTCCTCGGGGTGAGGCGGGCCAGAGAAGACTGCGCCCAGCCACCGCTGCTGCTGCCGCGCCCGCCCACGCCCCACCCCTGGTGCACGGCGTGCTCGCGCAGCCGCTTCACGGGCACGATCATGGGGTTCTGCATGAGGTCGTCGAAGACCTGGCACGCCCACTGGGGGGGGGCGCTCTCAAGGGGCCCAGAGACACACAGGTAGCTACCCAAAAATCCGAGGGTTCCCTATGTGTTTCCGTGTTTCCTGGAGTTTCATCTTCTCCCCCACTTCCCATAGTTTCTCACATTTTACAGGGAATTGACGATTACTTGTGTCTGTGTGTTGTTGTTCCCTCCTGACACTCTTCGAGTAGGAAATTGACTACAGAATTGATGCAACCCACAATTGAAATGGCCGTCTACGAACCTTATACAGATTCATGATATTCGACCCACAAAAAACAAACACAACAACACACAAACATGCAATCGATCTCCTACTCGAACTCTTGCGAAACCTGATCCAGGACGGGCCCGGCCTGGAGGCCAAAAAAACGGCACCGACAGAAATGTCCGGAACTCCGCGCAGATTTCTTGAAACTCGGCGCGGGGCCCCGCTCCGCGCCCCAGGGGGCGGCGCACGAGGCGCCGCCAGGGAGGCTCCAGCGCCGATCCGAGAAATCTGCGCGGGCCTCCGAAAATTGAGGAGGAGAATGACGAAGAGGAGGAGGAGGAGGAGGAGGAGGAGGAGAAGGAGAAGGAGGTGGAGGAGGGGAGGGGGAGGAGGAGATGGAGGAGGAGGAGGAGGAGGAGGAGGAGGAGGAGGAGGAGGAAGGAGGAGGAGGAGTAGGAGGAGGACGGGTTGCCTAAGCCCTTCGGAGAAACCCTTCAAATCCACCCCGACAAGCGAGCCGTTTAGTAAACGCACCCATGGAAGGAATCGAAGAGGGCAGGGCTGTTTCGTAAACGCCCAGGGACGTTCAGTAAACGCCAACTGTTGGGTCTGGGTCGGGGGCGGCCGAGAGGGGGGCGTCCAAGAAGGGGGGGCGCAAATCATGGCCGGCGGCACGTGCGCGGCCCAGGGGGGGCCGGGGACGTATTGAAATGAGAAGAGGCGCCATGAAATCTGGGGGGATCTCATGGCCCCCGCCATGACATCCACCCCCCCTAATCATCACCTCCCTCTTGGCCGCCCCCGAGAGAAGAGGCGGGGTCGGCTCCGCCTCGCTCCCGGGCCCAGGTGCAGAGGGGAAGCAACGGGATTGGCCAACACCGCCTGGCCAAACCTGGCCTGGGATCTGGTACGAGCTCCCGCTGCAGGCATGTCACGGAAACTGTCAGGTGAGGCTTCATGGGGGCCTCAGTGAACCTCCGCGGCCCTATCATTGACGTGAATTCAACGGGATTTCGTCCAGCTTTCAACCACCCCTCTCCACCCGTTCGTCCAAATTTCGTCCAAAATTCGCCCAAATTCCGTCTGTCAAATCCGACGAAATCCAGACGAAACCCCCCAAACCGCAAAAATTGTGGGAACCTCTGAGGCTCCCATGAAGGACCACACGGAAACTGGACAGTCAAACTCATGGCAGGGCCGTCAAGCAGCGGCGGCAAACCCGAGTTCTGGCAGCCTGGAGTCGTACGCTTCCCCGATCTACGAGCACACATAGCAGGTAGGCAACCACGTGTGAACCCTATCCCTGCAGGGTCAGACTTCTGAAAGACCGGCTGGGGCCCATACTTTGAAGCATGCCTGCAACCAGGTGAACCCCAGCGGGGGTATCCGATACCCGAGCGCCGATTGGCCCCGCAGGGATGGGGTTCACGAGTGGTTGCACAGCAGGGCGAGCCGAGTGAGCGACGAAACCAGCGTGTCTTGCACTTGAAGCCATAGTGACCCTATACACCGCGGCTTACGCGGAAGGCCAGCGTGGCCCACCGCGAGGAGATGAGGGCGCGTGCCGAGGGATCCAAAGTCACATGAACGGAAACTGCTGGAAGTCGGCGCTGGCTCTCCCTCCCTGCGCGCCAGGGGCGGCGCCGCAGGCGCCGCCAGGGGGACCCAACGCCTGGTCAAGAGACCTGGACCTCCGAGAAGTCATGTTCATGCAGTTCCGTCGATCAACTTCCATGCCCGTCGCCACCGGGGCCAGAAAAGTTCTCAAAGTGCTCGGAATCCCGTGACACTGCCAGCGAGCGAACGGCTCGTTGGCTCGTTGGCTCGTTGGCTCCACCAGCGAGCGCTGCTGACCGCAATCTCCCTCCTGGAGCAGAGGCCTCCGCTGCTGCTTGCTTGAACCAGAGGCGCTCGCGCGCGGCCCTACGCGGGACGCTCACGCGCGAAGTGTCCCTCCGTCGCCCCAGCGGAGAATCCACGGCGGAGGCCCCCTGCCTCGGCGGCGACAAGAGGCCCAGAAGCCCCGAGAGGCCCCAGAGCGGCCCCCAAGAGGCATCAAACGTGCTGCCAGGAGGCCCCCGAGAGACCTGCCAGGAGCCCCCCAAGGGGGTCGGCGGCGTGGCGTAAGCCCAGGGTCAGCGGCGGAGGCCCCCTGTCTCGGCGGCGAGCCCAGTTTGAAAGGGAAACGCGAGAGGGACCAGGCCCCCTCTCTAGGGGGAACAAAAAGTGGCATAAACATAAAAACTCGGAAGTCCGCGCGGACTTCTCGGATCGGCGCTGGACCCCCCCTCCCTGGCGCGCGGAGCGCGCCAGGGGCGGCGCTGGAGGCGCCGCCGGGTGGCCCCAGCGCCGATCCGAGAAATCCGCGCGGACCTCCGAGCTTTTATGAGTTGTTGTGTCTATGCCACTTTTTGTTCCCGTATTCTCCGAAGGCGGCGGGGCCTCTCAGAAGCCCTCGCGGCTTCAGAGAGTTTGCCCGCGTCTTCGGGGAAGACTCAGGAGGCCCGAGGCCTCCCGATTCTTCTGAGACGGCCCGCCCCCTCTGAAGGGGCCCTGGGACACACAAATAAATACACACAACTGAAAGGATTCCCGATATTTCCCCATATTTTCTGTGTTTTTGTCTTCCCCCCCACTTCCCATATTTTCCCCTACTGTCCTGGGGAATCGACGATTCATTGTGTCTGTGTGTGTTTTCCCCTCCTGATTCTTGGCTACCTACCAGACCACCCCAACCTAACCCGAAGACCCTAGTTTCGGGTTGGGGGAGTACGGGTTCCACATGTGCTTTTCTCGATGTTCCTGACCCCCCCCCACTGGAAATCGACGGTAACTTCGGGCCTTCGGGTTGGGTTGGGGTGTTTTGGTGGGTGGTGACCATCCCCCACCAGCTCTCCCGTCATCAACGGATCCGCCCACGGCCCGCTTCGGCGGCCCAACACCGGGGCGGCGACGCCGCCGCGCCGCCAGGCTTCGGCGCCCGCGCGCGGAGGGGATCGCGACGGAGACCCGTCTGTCTTAGACAGACCAGGTTTCGGTTGGGACCGCTTCTTTCCAGATGGCCGAAACCCTCGCGAACCCCCCCCCGAAGACCCTCCCGGAAGGGTTCTGGGAGCCTTTCCCGATGCTTTCGGAAGGGTTGCGACAGGGCCTCGGCCGTCTGGGGGGAAACCAATCCCTAGCGAAACCACCTTCCAAACCGTTCTCGGACTCTGGTGGGCCCTCGCCGGGCCCCAGGAACGTCCAAAAACGACTCCGGAGAAGGAAGCCGGGAGGCGCCCGCGGCCACGACGGCCGGTTCCGGCTCTCGCCCCCGATCCGTTCTGGCCCCACGCCCGAGCCCGTCGTCCAGCACTCGCGCTGACGCCCGTGGCTGGCCCCGCCCCCCCCCTCCCTCGGCCGCCCCCCCCCTGGTGGCGTCACGGCTCGCGCCGGCCCCGCCTGGGAACTGGCAGTTCATGAACATTCCCAGGCGGCGCCAGCGCGAATCATGACGCGATCGGCCCCCTCCCCCCCTGCGCCCCCCCCAGTCACGCCCGTCCATCGCCAGGGAGGGAAAAACACTGGATCTCGTTGGCGGGCGGAGAACGCTCGAGAACTTGCCTTCCCAGCCGCCCCGAGGCAGGCGTCCCCGATGGCGGAAAGATTGCTGTGCCGCCCGTCGCCCGCCAACACTGTTCGGTGGCAACTCATGGGAGCCTCCCACACCAGTCTGTCGGCTCTTGCAAATCGACGCTAATCGACGCTAGTCGATGCTTATCGACACTAAACCGACGCTAATCGATGCTAGCCGACGCTAAATCGACGCTAAACCGACGCTAATCGACGCTAATCGACGCTAAAGACGGAATTAGAAGGGTATAGAAGGCTCCCATGAGTTGCTGCCGAAACACTGGGTGGCGGTGGTGACTCCCAGGGGGAAACAGCACAGGCGTCGGCTCTCGGAGGTCCGCCCGGATCTCGTGGGTTGGCGCGGCCCCACTCCCCACCGCCTCTTCACAGCGCGCGGAGCACACCAGGGCCGGCGCCAGAGGCGCTGCAGTAGACAAGCGCGCTCCACTGCTCGCAGAGTAACTGCTCGCAAACATCCTGGCTCCCCCCTGCATCGAGGCAACCAAATATGTCTCGCACGCTTGCGAGCAGGCACTGTGCGAGTAGCGGAACGCGCTCGGTGATGCAGGAGTGGCGGACAGGGGGTCCAGCGCCGACCCAAGAAGTACCCCCCCCCCTCCATGCGGTCCCTGCCGGCGCCAGAGGCGCCTGCAGGCAGGGGCGACAGGGAGGGGTCCAGCGCTGTGCCATGAGATGCCCGCGGACCTCCGAAAAACCTCGTGGACACAGATTTGTGCCCCTCGATTCCCGCGCCCCCCCCCCTCGCGCCTTGGCGTGCAGAACGCTGACCGTCCCGTCGTCCGAGGCGGCGGCCATCAGAGGGTACTTC